TAGATTGAGTCGTTTTTTTTACGAAGCCCGGCAAGTACGATCACATGGTAAACGATGGGAATAGTTGCGAGTCTGCTTAAACTAACGCTCGATCGCTCTTCTTTGTGTGTACATGTACTCTGTTGATCTCTCTTTTTTCTCTGCCTTTGCTCACTCTCCACTTCGAGTCAGCAATATAATTTTAATTGTCCCAATAAAGATTTTATCATTTGAAAAAGTGAATTCAGGGTAGCAATAATTTCTTTATTAATATTATTGTATTTAAAGGTTATTTAGCATGTGTGCGCTGTGGTATATAGAGCGGAAAGGACTGTGCCCAGTTGCCCACAGAACTATCTCAGCATGTGTGTCGAGAATGTGCGATGAAGAACTGGTGACGCGAGTTGGGTTATTCACCATCTGCGTAAAATTAAACAGGTTGCAAGTATTAAGAAAGCATTTCCCATTTGAAGAGAAAGGTACGACTTCTGGTAACGATGACGCCCACATTATGGTAGGATAGTTGAAGTCGCCAAGAATAGTTATCGAAGAAGATGGGTACCGCATTGTAATTTCAATAATGTTGTCATGAAACTCCTGAACAAAGCTGATGTCTGTATCTAGAGGGCGGTAACAGACGCCAAGAACAAGCGTTTTCACAACCACCCCGCACCATATCACTTCCAATGTAGACGTCACGTTGATAAGAAAGGACTTAAAACGCTTTGAAATGGCAAGCAAAGTACCACCACCTTGTCTTCCACCTCTATCGCGGCGGTAAATGTTCAGCGATTTGGAAACAGCAAAAATTTTGCTATCGCAAACATGAGCACTCAACCAAGTCTCGGTCACGGCAATCACGTCGGCTTCGCAAGAATCGATAATAGCGTCAAGAGCTTCACGTTTTCCCATTACACTACGGATGTTTATGTAGAGCACAGAAATAGGACGTGATACGATACTGCCACTTTCCCTTGCTGATTGTTATGAGGAGGCATTAGATGTCCGCGCACGTGGCAAAAGTGCGGTATCAGGCATTGAACGTGCGTCAAGGTCATGGCTGTGATCGGAAGTCGAGTGCGCCCCATTTTCGATGCGTAATCCGCTACCATTACTGCGAGAATGCCCAGTAGTCTCGCGAACAATGCCCGCGGAAGCATCATAAGAATAGTTTGTGTGGTTAACAACAAGCTTGTCGTAACGAAGCTGAAAAGCGGGTCGGCCAGGCAATGATTTTGCAAAATTGTGCAGCATCTTGCGCGCTGTTCTTGTAGCATGACAGTAGTCCTCCAATACAGAGACGTTATGGCTTCTTAACTTACATCTACATGCCAGCACAAGTTTTGTTTGAAGGCTTGCAAATTTTACTATCACTGGTCGAGTTTTTTCGCGTATGTATGGACCACCTAAACGATGGGCCTTTTCTACTGCATTCGGGTCAAACTCGGTGCCTAGGCTACTAGGGAGCAAGCTGGTAAGTGCCTCTTCAGTAGCTTGCCAGGTCTTATTTTTATCGGGCATGCCAAAAACACACTGAGTTGCACCTTCGGGCTCTGTCCTCGAGGTCGCTTAGACGGAACACCAACGCGTCATTTGTTTGAGTGATGCTGCCGATAGCTTCATTCGTGATCTGCAATTCCTTCTCAACGTCAGCAACCGAGTAAGTCCGCAGTTCAACCGTCGAAAGACACCTTTCAATCTCGCATATTTGCTCGCCACAAGTTGCTGGTTGGCTTTCACCTCATCGATCGCCTTTGCCAAATTGGACTGCTCAACGGCAGATGAATCACAGCGGGTGCTTATCTTAGAAAGCATTGCCATGACTCCTTTATGACGCGCATTAGAAGAATCTGTGTTGTTCTCGACATCATCATCGTGACGAAAGACTTGAAATAGTATTATAATCAAGCTTTTGCTAAGCTTTGTCTTGCGGCAAAGGTGCTTCAGGACATCACGGAGCCAAACGGAGCCAAAAGAACGAAGATTAGACCCATCACTCCCATACTGGCTGAAGCATCGTGTGTGGCAGCTCCCATACACACGAGCGCCAGAGTTTCCTATAGTGTGTTTAGAGGAAATTGTATGAACAAAGCCATATATATATACCATTGACATGCATGATACGCCATAGTATGGAGGTACAAAATGGACGTGAGAGGGATGTACGAAGAGTGGTGCCAGGAGTAATTGGAGGATAGGGTGAAGGGTAGAGGGTAAAGCATTGCAATGCGATGCACAGTATAGTACAGCAAAGAGTGGTAAACGTATTTCGAGGCTGAGGAAAGGTGGCGTGAAGGTGCGGCAGAGGAATGCAAATGAAGTAGCATCCAGTTTCTGCGTCACTAATGAAGGTTTCCTACCCCACGTAGTCATGCAGCAGTTTCGAATAGCCAGCCCGCACTTGGCTGGGAGAGCCAGCCTCGCCAAATAGCGCGCTAATTACTGCTGCACATTTCCAACAGCTTCGACGCCGAGTGCGACTGCGCAGATTTTATTTTTTTTACAATGTAACACAATGTGAAACTTAGCTCATTCTGACTGCGGGGAATTAAGTTTACAAGGGTACTTCACCACGCAGACGTCACCACAAGTCACTGTGTGAGCGCTGCTGCGAGTATGTAAAGAAAGTGCCTGAATGACACGGCGTGACTGTGTATTTTGTTCACTAATTTGGTGAAATATATTTTATTGTTTTTGAATGTCACCTTTCAATTTTCGCCTTTTTAATTCTTTGGTACCACCTATTTCGAACCCAAGCACAGTGTATAGCAAAGCTGAAACCACGTCTGGTTATATTACCTTTTTTTTTTCTTTTTCCTTCGCTAGCTTGTTCTCCGCTTGTCCGCGATTATTGTCCTTTTTGTTGTCTTTGGCCGACAGATATATTCGTGGCCGCAAGTATTGCCACTTCGAACATGTGCTAAAATCGCTGCAAGGTCATGCAGTCTTGTGTCGTAGCCAGGGGCAGTTGTTTAAAACTGTCCCCGATTTTTTTTTTCGTGTGTTTATGCTATAAGTCGGCAAAATCATTTAGGTTTTCTCAAGCTCTATCAAAAAGTACATTTCGCTCAGAAGGCTTACTAGGACCCAGAATGCTCCAAATTTGCCTTGTGCGGACTCAGTCGGACTTAAACTCACTTAGCCTTTCTTCAAACAGACTCGCTTGGACTCAAAATCACCAACATGCTACTCAGCCGGACTCATTTTGGCTCAGATTTACGACCTGACATGAGTCTAACTGAACTGGAGTGAGTTGACTTAAGAATCGTTTAGAATACAATTAGCTTTTTTAGATCATGTTGCCAATGTTCTTTCGAGTGAATATTTTACAGTGGTGTTCTACGATACGCCCTTTTTACCATGTACTTCCAGAAACAAGTTATGAGCGGTGTCAATGCACTAAGGACAAGATAGTTTTATCAAGAACTTTCCATGACAGAGCTTGCGCATGGATGTCATGGCACCTCGCATTCTAACACACACCTCCAATTAATAAATATTGTGGCGGCGCATGAATGCTTGCGCGTTTATATATATACCGACTCAATGGTGCCCTTAGCAGACTCAACAGCATGGAGACCTACAGCCCTCTTCTGAGCAGCATCATGGAATCCATTAACAATATTCTGTCACGTGGGGTATGCCTAGCTGCACAGTGGGTACCTTCGCACGTGGGTATGGAGGGCAATGAAGAAGCGGATAGCATTGCTTCGTCATGCAAACATGATGGCTGTGACTGTCCGGGAATTCTATGTACGATGGGCAACGCTCGTCTGCTTGTACGCCGACACCTCCTAAAGCAGCACCCAGACCAGCGTGTGGCGAATGAATCGTTCCCTCCCCGTGTTCGTGGACGTGGCTTGCCTCGTAGTTCCCGAGCGCTGTTGTACAAACTAAGTGTGGGCTCTGTGCTGGTGCGTGAACGATTACACCGTCAAGGGCGTGTGGACAGCCCGTTGTACGCAGCTTGTGCGAAGCACTTGAGCATCTCGTAGTGAACTGCCCCACGTTTGCACCGCAGCGGTCTTTGCTGATTAAGGAATATAAATTCCTGGGACTAAAGTGCACGACCCTAGACGACTTTCTCTTTCCGAGCGGTTGTGTTTCCTGACGATACCAGGCCCTCCGAGCTCTTCTTACATTTATGAACCAAAGCGACCTGGCCACCCGTTTATTGGCATTTTTATTATTTTATTTATGTTTTCTCACTCATACTCGTCCAAGTCTTCGTAATTTTTTTTTCATTCCTCATCTTCCTTTTTTCTTTTTTCCCTCTAATCTTTGCTTCCTCTGTTTCTTCTCTCCTCCCGAAAGAGTGAGCAGGCGTTGTGCCCCTCCAGGTGGCAGTTGCCAGCTTGCTCTCTCCCTCTTCCCTCTTTGTCCCTGTGTATCTGTGTATGCAAATCAAACGAATAAATAAATAAATAAATACACTTGAACAGATATGAGTATAAAGATAACGTAATATAAGACTGCTATAGTAAAGCTGAAGTTAAGCATATAATACAATCGATCAGCCCTGTAAAGTGGAACTCAGGCAGACTCAGTCGAGATATATATCTGACGCAGAAGGCTCACTCCGATTCATACTCACGAATATTTACCTCTACCAGACTCACTCAAACTCACCAAAAAATTAGTCACCCGTACTCACTCAAAGTGCGACTTGTGGCCGGATCAGAGGCTTAGTGAGTCGACTGATGAGTGACTTGATATGCGCACACATAAAAAGGCGCGCTCTAACATACATAAAGTATGAATACTTCCCCTCCCCCACACACAAACACGCACTTTATGTTAGATATGTTGCTGATTCGGCAGGAGTCTTAATGGAAAATAGACCAACCATGCTCAAAACGTGCGCAAACTTAAAAAAACAAAATACAATATTGAAGAGTAATAGACCCTAGCTATTCTCACTGAACGAAACGGAACAATATTTACTTTATTATTGGTGCGCCTCAACCTTTAGACTATCTGAAAAATAAAACGTTGTTGCTTTTGTTTCTCTACTTTTGCAGAAAAAAACTATGACAGCGATTCCGAGGATTCTGACAGGTTCAAGGTATACGTTGAAAATATGGAATTCATCCAAGAACACAATGAAAAGTTCAACAAGCAGCTTGCGTCGCACAGCGTTGAGTTGAATCATTTCGGAGACATGGTAAGCAACGGGAAATGGTGTTTTCCTTCCAGTTCTTAATGTTCAACTCGTAATTCAGCATCGTACAATGGCTCCCAAATGCCTTCACGAAGGTATCATATGTGTCACTGCAGATATTCTACGTAGCTGGTTTCTAATAAAATTCGTACCGCATGGTTATACTGGCTCCGGCAAGAGTACCTTTTTCTCCGAGCTGCAAGGCTGAAAACGGGAAGTGCCCTTAGAGGAAGGGGAGGAAAGAAAGCTGAGTCCAGAGAGGCCGTACTACCAGTCACTTTACAGCTACAAATGCTTCTCCAAGAAGTACAATAAATTCAGGAACACGCTGCTGGAAATGTGCAGTGCTTTCATATCATGTAATTTGTCATGTAATGCTTCTAAATATAATTATCTTGTTTCATTGAGATAGCAATTATATGGATGCTCTAGGCAGATTTTTCGCTATCGCCATCCCCTTCATACTCCGTATATGTATATGTACACATAAATAAAGGCAGAAAAAATAACTCAAAAGAACATATTCTGAAGCGTCCAACTGGGGATTCAAACCAGCGACCACTCGCTGCGTAGTGCATTGATTGATATGTGGGGTTTAACGTCCCAAAACCACCATATGATTATGAGAGACACCATAGTGGAGGGCTCCGGAAATTTCGAAGTTGGGGTTCTTTATAACGTGCACCCAAACCTGAGCACATGGGCCTACAACATTTCCGCCTCCATCAGAAATGCAGCCGCCACAGCTGGGATTCGATCAGGCGAACTGCGGGTCAGCAGCCGAGTACCTTAGCCACTAGACCACCGCGGCGGGGTTGCTGCGTAGTGCACTGCGATAGACAACTCCACCAGAGCCATTCATGCGCATCATGGGTGCCGTGTCATGATACATGTATTTATGATAATCGCCATGGTGGAATGCACTAATACTTATCTTGTTTTCTAAATATCATGAAAATAATAACAGCCTGAATACTGCTAATACTGAAGTCATGAACATCACTCTCAAAGCTGCAAGTACACACAATCAATCAATCCATCAATCAATCAGTCAATGTGAAAGATCCACATCACATTTTTTTTCTTGGGCACTGGTAATGTGGAAGTATTACCATTATGAAAGAGTTAGCATTGTGGGATATCTAAGCTCAATAACTCGGACTTTGCTTCAAATTAGAGCTCGGCAAACTCTCTCATGGGCTGGTTCACTCATGCTCAGACTGAATTCAGGTCACGAGTCTGGGTGAGTTCGGGTTAGTAATTGCTCAGCTTGAGTCCCACTGATTCCGGTGATGAAAATGTCTGTAAGTCTGAGTCCGAGTGACTAGGGTCGAGGAAAATATTTCTGATTCTGAGTCAGAGTCAGTTTCAAGAGCAAAACATATTTCATGAGTGGGTATGAGTGAGTTCCGTCTTTTGTTGCCGACCTGTGCCTTCGTATTATACGAGAAGGCGGGAATATCAAAATAAAAAAAAAAGTTACCGGCAAATGCAAGTCCCGTCAATGTCATGATAGGTTACTAAAGTAATTTTTCTACTGCACAACTGACTTGTTTTGTTGCTTCAGCGTCTGAACGAATTTGAGCATTTGGCCGGCTGCGGAAATGTGAGCGAAATGGAGGACGACGAGTACAATGCCGACGTAAATATCACGGCACTTCTTGGCGAAGGTGAGATACCAGAGTATGTCGACTGGCGGGAGAGGGGCTTCCTGACACCCGTGAAAAGCCAAGGTCGCTGTGGTAATTGTTGGGCATTCAGTTTGGTGAGTATCACCTGCGTTTACGTCAGTAACTGAAAGTTCTATACATTTTGCATGTGCTTCACGCCTGTAGCACCGGAAGGTCTGGAAATTTGGTACGAGTTTACAGATACATAAGTGACAATAGGGCCCACTTAAGGGCAACGATTGTGATGGAAATGATGGAGTACAAGGCAACTTATAACGAAGGTATAAGACAAGACGAGGATGCATCCACTATCCATTCCTAAATCACGCGAGAAAAATAGGAATACAGTACCTTGACAAGAGACGAACGCGTTGTTTGCACACATGGTTGCTGTCTCATGTGGAATATTTTTTTCTATTGCTATAATTTCGTACTTAGATTATTAATTCGTTCCCTTCACAGAATGTTCATCTTAAGAAAAGCAATCATGCTTGCTGATCATTCTGTCATTTCTAACTTGCGTGAAGCTTCGTCTGTATCATACGTTTAGAAACTAAGAAAAATAAAGGTAGAACACGCACAGACTCTGGCACCTAAAGGAAATAGTCAAACAAATTCACCAAGGCTAACCAGGAAGCGCCACCAAGTCTAGCAGTATCTGTAAGTGTACCGAGTTGTTTCCCAAAGATTGAATCATGAGTACCAAGAGTTCATTCATCGATGCCTTGTGAAATATTCGCTGACATGATGTGAACTTGATATCTGTCCTGAAGAGCTCACGCCAGATGGCATCCGAGAGAAGGCCATGACTTCAACCTTTATGACACTGGCATGCGAGACCCATTGCAACATCTCTGGCCTTCTGGACTGCAGTTTTAGATGTCCTGGACTGTTGAAGGCGGATCATCAGGAGCCCTTGGTTTGAAGTGAAGAAGCATCTAATTCTAAAAACAGCCAGTGCATGAGTTCCAAATAACAAAATTCGCATACTTTATTGCAATACCTTTTAGTTATTGTTTGCTCTGATTTCTTTAAGCTGTTTTACCTGCTCGGCAGACAGGGTCAATTGAAGGCCATCATTATAGGGAAACCGGCAAACTCATCTCAATCAGGGAACAAAATCTTTTCGACTGCGCACCAACAACGAAGGAACTATCTTGTCACATCAGTTCAAGCCCGGTCACATGTTTTAAGTAGGTTATGGCAAATGATGGTATCAACACGGAATAGAGCTACCCATTTGAACGCAAGGTGAGCACATTGTGCTATAGGAGCACACTTTTGAAATGCTTGTTCATAAATAAAATATTTCTGAATAATAATTTTCTAAACGTTGAACATAATAACAAAATCTATTCGACTAGAAAATTGACTTTAAATTACGCCATAATGACATTTCCTGCTTCTAGGCCCTTTCTCAGCAGTATATTCAGGATATCTGCCCCACTAATATAAAGCTCTGGTCTCAAAATTTATGGCACACTTTCTCCACCGAGAAAGAAAATGACTTCAAAGACGCACTAAATTGTGTTTGAGTCTTCACTGACAAATCATGCTTGTATTTTGGAACGTGCACAAAATTTTTGTGCAATATACGCAAGCTCTTTTCTTTTTCGCTGCCACTTTTATGCATGATGTTCCCGGCATAGTTTCATGCTTGTTTCCTTGTACGGCCTATTTTCTCTGAGTTTCATTTTGTCTTAATCATGCTTGTTTTATATACACTATGTAACACAGAACGTTTTCTGCAAACATCGATGATATCCTAACAGCTGAATAACATGCCCACGCAGTCAAACTCAAAGTATTATTTTCCACATGAGTACCTGTCTGTAGTGAAAGGTGTAGCGTACGACAATGCGTGATCAGGCCCATTATACCAAAAGCGAATATTTCATTTTGTCGTGTTCCCCCATGTGACACATAAACAAAGCGATTAAGTAGCATTCTAGATACTGCTGTACAGGGTAATAATAATAATAATAATAATAATAATAATAATAATAATAATAATAATAATAATAATAATAATAATAATAATATTATTATTATTATTATTATTATTATTATTATTATTATTATTATTATTATATTATTATTAGAAAGGTTTAGCGAGCATTGAGCCGCAGTGCCATGAATACAGTGAACTAGTATATACCATGAACTCAAAGTGGTTGAAGGTGGGAAGTAGACCCGAAGCACAAGCCGTAAGAAAGTGTGCGTGTGCCACTTCTCGTTTAGTCCTTGGAATGTCCACTGAATGGCAGTGGACATATGGGGAATATATGATAAAAAGATGCGAGATGGTGGGACTTGGAGTGTTGAATAGTTGGACGAACGGACACACAGACAGATGCATGGATGGACGCATCAACGGACGCAGGTGCGGATGCATGAATGAACGCAGGGACGGGCGCACGAACAGACGCATGGACGGTCACACAGACGGACGCATGGGCGGACGAATGCTTTGCCCCACTCTCCATGCTGCTTTGTATGCTGCATTTTCACAGCGTCGTGGTGTGATAATAGCATGAACCCCTAATGCTTATGTAGTAATATATTGGCAAGATGGCTGTATCTGAAGCCTCATTATCGGATGAAAAGATGCGTTTCTTCGGATATTACTGTTTAGCTAAACAGATCACTTTTTACATTCCCGAGCATAGAAGCCGCTAAAAATGTTCGCTGTTTTATTTATTTATTTTTATCGTAATTATATACTTTTGCACTATCTTTAACAAGTTATGGCGAGTACACATTTTCACCTTCATTCTTAACTCCGCATAGGCTTACAAACCCACGCAATTCCAAGCTGATTCTACAATATCAGGTGTGATCCAACGTGAGTAGGTGTAAATGGCATCGAAGTTTGGCTGATGCTACCTGGGTTACCGATTACGCCAAAGAAAGCCGTTGATCTCAGTTTCTTAAGTTATGATTACCCATTTTACAAGAGTAAATAGTACTCTGGGTAAGAAACTTAAGGCCCTTAGTCTTTTGATACTACCAAGCTATGCGTTACTGCGCTTAATGAATCGATCTTAGAACACGAACATGGCAGCCAACTCGCACACGATCTCATCTCTGTCGAGCTTTCACCTGAGGAAACTTTGGCTTGGTATTGTTGCGCCATCTTGTGTGTTCTTCGATAATAATGGCGGATGCCTATGAGACTCGCACGCGGGATTTAGTGTTCACGTCGGCACATTTTTCTCGCGTTTGTAGGCACGCAAATAACGGGGTACTTTAGACAAGTCGAAGTCTATGTAGTGTAAAAGACGATAAAAAAAAGGTTTGTTTTTAGAAAGTGTTTTACTACGTGACGAAGAGGTCCTTATACGTGAGACTTGGCCACTAGATGCGCAGTAGAAAAAAAAACAAAAGAAGGGCATGGCTGTTGTATTTAACGACGCGCTACTCAAAAACAGGACACGAAAAATAAAGACCCATCGACCACACTAGTGGGCAGGGTTCTGCGTTAGGAGTAGCCACGCTTCACCGCAGAATAGCCCCTGCCTCCTATTTTCCAAACTCACTTTGGTCGAGTCAAAACAAAAAAAAATCTGCGCAAAGATTCTAAAAATGAAAATCAAGCGATGTTGACAATACAGACCTGCCGTTGGTATATTAAAACACACTGCGCAAATAACAACAGGGACGGACGAAGGAAAGACACACAGCACTCAACCTACACTGGTTAATAGATCAATTTTTCTCAAATAAATACCAGCAGCTGTGACAGTGCGCATGTCAAAAGAACTAAACTTCCCCTTTGCGCTGCGCGTTTCACTATGCTTCACCAACATGTAGAATCTCGCTCTATTGTACAATTGGTCCTCTTCTTTCCTAGAGTAAAGGTTGGAAGTCGACAGCTCTTGGTATGTATGCCATATTGGGAGGTATGAGCCGTGAAAAGCCAGCGCTGTCCTTGTCCTGCGCTTTAAATAATGACTGGCGATGTCTGACTGAGCAAATGTACGGAAGAGACTAAGTGCAAACCTTATGTGATGTTACGGAAAGGAAGTCGAGATGCGACATCAACTGACTTCATAAAAGCGAAAAAGTTGTCCTCTCCAAACAATTTACCAACCAGGCTAGTTCGTTAGTAATTATGTACCATTGTAGGCACGAGACATTACCACACAGACACACACACACACACACACACACACACACATATATATATATATATATATATATATATATATATATATATATATATATATATATATATATATATATATATATATATATATATATAACGGATGAAACATGGCGTCAGTCAGACGTCGTCTACCTCATCTTCCTTTCCCCCATTTACCCGTGAAGCGTCACACGTTTCCCCCTCCCCCCGAGAGAGCATCAACTTATTGAGACAATAGTAGCGACGCAGTTTGTTGACGTGCACAATATCAGTAGTTCTGCTTAACGGTACTATACGCATCGGTTTATCTCATAGTTCAGAGGAGAGGCTCTGCGAAGAATTGCGTGAGGTCCTTCCATGAATGAACTGAGGTTCCCTTGTTCTGGTGCCATGGTGTTTCGTAGAGGACCAATTCACCAAGTTGGAGATCGTGTGGCAGGAATTTTTTGTCGTAGATGATTTTGTTCTTCTCATGGTAGGCAAGCGTGTTCTTGATTGCACTTTTCCTTGCTTCTTGCACACTCTCCATTGGTGCGTCTAAAATTGTGTCGTATGAAGGGATTCCACACATGAGGTACGATGGTGAATATCGTGTTATTTCATGTGGGGTTCTGTCGTATTCATCGACGACATCCGAAAGATGTTTGACCCAAGACTTCTATGGCTGCTCATTCATTTTGCACTTTAGCTGGGTTACAATAGCCTGATTCGTACGTTCGTTCACGCCATTACATTGAGGGTGTTGGGGGGACGTGAACAGTTGGTGGACACCATTGCGTTTTAGAAATCACTTGAATTTTCCAGCTGTGAAAGCTGGTCCACAATCAGATAGGAACTTTTTGGGCTTTCCTGCACCAAAGAGGGTGGTGATGCACGAAACGTATGCGCCACAAGTTTCGTTTTTGTGGGGAAACGCCCAGACATACCGCGTAGCGTGGTCGATTGCCAAATAAACAAACTTCTTTGTCGAGCCGTATCCTGAAAATCCACCTATAGTGTTCATTGCTAAAAGATCACGGGGTTGTTTTGCAGGTGGTAGTTACTCGAGAAATCTGAATTTCTTGGTTTTCGGCTTCTTGCAACGCTTACATATGTCCCAGTGGCGGACGTAGGATGAAACGTCTGTGATGATTTCCGGCCAATAGTAGGACGATGACAACAAGCCCAGAGTTTTCTTTGCTCCAACGTGTCCGAACTGACAGTGTGCTTTCTGCAGAAGGCCCAGTTGAAGCTTGAGAGGAACGTTCACTTTTCGAATTCTTTTACGTGTCACGATAGTGACCCCGTTTTCCGTAGTGTACTTTCAGCGAGGGCGATCATCCTGGTAAGTTTGAAGTTCTGGTAATGAAAGGAGTTGAACCATAGGGCTCCGCGAAAATGCGTCCGCCTCGATGTTCTCGCTGCCTTTTTGATGTCGAATGTTAGCGTAATACATCTACAGCTTCAGAGACCATCGAAAGAGCCGGCCATGGGTTTTTTTTATGTTTTTGAGCCATTGTAAAAAGCAACATGATCGGTGACAACAGTGAAGGGTCGTCCATGGAGATAGCAGTGCCACTTGTCAACAGCGTCAATAATAGCGAGGCGTTAGAGCTATGTAATGGCATAATTTAATTCGTGCGTGAGTAGCTTGCGCGAGTGATAGGCAATGGGGTGTTATTTACTAACAGGATCTCGTTTCTTCGGAACTTAACCTACGCATACGTTAGATGCGTCGCCATAAAGAATGCATGGTTTCTCGCAAGAAACAATTCGTAAAATGGGCTCTCTGGTCAGAC